AGTGGGTTACGGGTTTATTTGATTGTACGTCATTTCCAAGTTATATATAGATACATTCATACCATTGGCATTTTGTATTTGAGATAAGACAGAGACAGGATGCGGAGGGCCCGCTTAGGGGGAGCGTAACCCATGTTATGGCTTCCATTTATTAAATAGTTCAGATAGGCTGGAAATGATAGGTTCATGGTGAGAAAATGTACCATATGGTGCCCGTTCACTGATCAAAATTAGATTCAAATCGTCAGGCCCTGCCCTGGAATAAGGGAATTGACGATGATTTGTCAAGTTTCATTTTGCATTTGCATATAATTGTAAGTTTAGGTTTGCTTTTGTAATTGTAAGATAGATAGTTTGCCTCAATCGAAACATTGAGTTGACATGACGAATCATACCTCTAAAATAGTAGTAGTTACAGTGCCGCATTATCTAACTTTTGTTTTGTTTGTTTACATATAACTAATACTAATACCTCCTTGTTTTCTCTCTAATTTGTCTACTATGTCCCACCATCACGATGAGAGATGAGCTACCGTACATGGTACACGCTCATGTACACTCCCAAAATAGTATGCCGCAAGTAAGTATATCACAGAGGCAACTAAAGATCCAGAAACAAAAACCGAAAACGCTGAACGACAGATTGGTTTACAGTGGTCAACCAGGGTGTGTGCTGATAAATTACAAAATTACAATTACATCATTATTTCATACATCAGCTTGAATTGCGTTGATCGATACCACATTTTTTTGGCTGTGCACTACACCACTGGAGCCAGCAAAGTTCAACAATCCATCGTTGCTTATGCCTTTGTTGTCGTTTGGAACCAGTTTTGCGAGGTAGGTGACGATTGTGCGTATTTCTCGCGTAAATTTTGAAAAGGGCCTAGCCTGAACAATACGTAAAGAGCAAATTGAAACATTGTACGTCGCGTGAAAGTGGAACTTAATGAAGGCCTAAGTACTTTTTCGTAGTTTTTAGTTTTCGGATTTGAAAAATCGTCGGTTACAGTGGCCTGCTTACTGAGCAGAAAAACGCGGTCCCAGGTCCTTACATATCAAAGAGATTTATGGTAAAATCGCTTGTGTATCGTGTATTTTGCGAAACTCGTTGTTGTCGTTGGTTCCGGGTTTGAATGGATACACAAATTTGAGCAACGGTATTATGTGATATGAGGGGCTCGGTGGCCTTAGAGCAACCGTTTTTGCTTACTGAGCAGAACATCATGAGTCTATTCTCAGGCCCATCCACAATCAAGATTCGTCAATCGTTTTATTTGTTAATATGACTACATGGTAATAACAGCAACTCGGTGATTAAAAAGGTGCTCGTCTGCCTAGTGGCAAACGTTTTTGCTTACTGAGCAGAATACCGTGGGTTTAGTCCCAAGCTCCTTAGCGTTATATGATCGTTAGGACATCAATTCAGCTTATCGTTTACCAAAACGAACCCTGCTGCAAACCCAACCCTCTTATCCAACATCCCAGTGATTCCTCGTGGAAGTGCAGAGGTGTTCTCGGCTTCCATCAAAGCGAGTGTCATGTCAACACAATCCTTCCCATTCCTTTCTTGACCTGTGTTCGGGCGCGGCCGGCGCTGGTATTGCCTAATTTAAGATCACCAGTTTTTACACATTGAGGATGATTGCTAGTCCCAAGCATCGTCTATTGGTTCTCTGTGTAATTACAGCTGATCTGGCAATAACAGAGTAGCAACCGTGGGCGGTCAATCAAGCTCAAGCTCAAGCTCAGACAATAATGTTGTTTTTTGTATTACTTAACATCATTGGGGCTTATTGAAGCCTGTTGATGGAATCAATTAAATAAATAAATAAATAAATAAATTAGCTATGAAAGTTTGACAGATAAAATGAGGGGTTCGTGGATTTTCTTATGCTTGGGACCGAAGAGAGTACCAGAGCTGAGCCAAAAAGTTGAGCACGTTTCTTCGGGACCTTCTGGTCTTAGAGTTACCTCTATGGAGTTACCTCTATAGCAAATCAAAACAAACATAGTGTAGTATTAGAATTTCGACTACAATGGGGCACGTTAATCGATTTGCTTGGGCTTTGCAATAGGCTAGTCAAGTAGTGAGCCAATTTAAAATCGTTAGTTTCCACGGTTGCTAGGACTTACGATCGAAAGTTGACTGTATATTGCATTTCAAACAAGAAAACAACTTATTTCCATATATTTCTAGGCCAAATAGGCCCGCACGCTAAAACGGCCAACCATTCATTTATTTTATTTCATTGATAAGCCTAGTGCCGTAGAAGCATAGAGGTAACTCTAAGACTAGAAGGTCCCGAAGAAACGTGCTCAACTTTATGGCTCAGCTCTGGTACTCTCTTTGGTCCCAAGCTAATCGATTCCCCCTCGAAACATAGGAAAATCTACTAACCCCTCATTTTATCTGTCAAATTTTCACAGCGAAAAAAAACAAACATTGTGTAGTACTAGAATTTCTACTAGAATGGGGTACGTTAATCGTTTGCTTGGGACTAATAGGCAAGTCAAGTAGTGAGCCAATTTAAAATCGTTAGTTTGAAAATTTTCAAAACAAATCATCGGCCCTGCCTCAAGCAGCAGGGCCTAGCTTTGGTTTGAAAATTTTCAATCATCGGCCCTTCTCCGGCACTAGGCTTATCAATGAAATGAAATAAAAATGAATGGTTGGCCGTTTTAGCGTGCGAGCCTATTAATGAATCGAAAAATTTCGTTGATCGGCCGTTTCGAAAATCGAGTTATTTTTAATGATTTTGCTCGATTATGCGGAACTTTTCTACACGATTAGTAGCTATCAAATCCGTGTATATTTTACCCAGAAATACTTAATTTTACTCTACAAACTTTGCTTCAGACGTCATTTCAAGACCAACAATAGAAAAGGCCTCAACTCTATTTTGTAAACAAACTTTGTTAGGCCATTTTGTCGCGAACCGAAGTCCACCATCGCTAACCAACAATATGAACAGGTAGGGGAAATTCTCCTCTACCCGATTGTGTTTTAGGTTTGCGAATGTAGGTTTCGGTTCGTGAGAAAATCGTTGTAAGTTTGTTTACAAATTGGAGCTGAGGCCTTTTCAATTGTTGGTCTTGATTTCGACCAGAAATGACGTTTTCGCGTCACAATCTATTGAAAATGATAAAGACGCCATTTCGAAAAAAATACAAGATCCAAAATGGCCGATTTTTTGTAAAAAATGTGAAGAACTGCCCACAACTATGCAAAGTTTTATGCAAATTATCCAAATTTTTCCGATTCGTTATTTGGCATGGAATTGCTCTAATTCGATTTATATTAAGGGAAGGGAAATTTGTATGGAAAAAAGTTGGTGAATACCAAGTAAGGCGGCGTCCATAAATTTTGTAACGCGTATAGGGGAAGTGGGTCACTTAAATCGTTACGAATTGTTACATAGGAGAGGGGGAGGTAAGCTTTGCGTAACGTAACAAAGAGAAAACAAAATTTTGTTATTTATATATAAAGTTTGGTAAAAGAATGTCATTCCAAAATCTTGCTTGCAAAATATTATTTTCATTAACTATCATGAGTTTTTTTTTTGCTTTCTTTAAACTTTAAAAAAGTAGCTACTTAATGGATTTTATTATGAATATTTTAAATTACCTTGAATTATTTTAGAAAGTTAGAAGTTACAACCAAATCAAACATTTATCAACAAATATGCATTTCATTCAATGAAAGGGGGGGGGGGGAAGGTAGGTGCCTTTACAAGCGTTACGTAATAAATAGAGGGGTTTACTTTCCGCGTTACGTATTGTTACAAAGGGTTTGATTTTTTCCCCTTGATTTGTTTTCCGTCGATCTTGTTTTCCGTACCGATGCTACCGGCATCAGGGAGGCAACTACCACACCTAACGACCCATCAACTCATGGACCGGGGACCAACGGCTTTCTTTCCTTCCCTTCCGAAGGAAGGTGTGATCAGAGATTTTATGCCTCAGGAAATCCCAACTGAAATTGGGTTGAAAATTTAGATTTTAGCGTTACGTAATTAATGCACGTAAGGATCTCCAAAGAATGGTCTAGTCTAGTGATAACTGAAATAGAATTAAGGGTTGGATGGGGTTTCTAGAAAGCAAAGAAGACAATAATCATGTGTTGCCAAAAACGGGAACTCATTTTGTCCGTAACATATGAAGTTCCAGAGGTAAATCAGGGAGGGACGTGCGAAAATTTTGTTATTTTTGGAAGATTTAAGTTCTTCATTTATAATGTTCTTATTTTACTAAATTCATTTCAAAAGGACTTTATGTTGAATAGTATTATATTCACTGTGAAATGCCAATCAAATTATTAACTAGCACGCACACGTTTTGCAACTTATATACTTAGCATTCCCTTTAACAAATCGAAATTAAACCCTAAATAGAAAACAAATCAACTTTAAACACAGATGTTAGTCAAAAACCAATAACAAACCCAGAGACCGTCTTTCTTCCCAAACCTAACTCCTTCAGCCAAAGCCCGAAACGAACCATCATTTTTCCCAATCCTCCTCTCCCATGGCCAACCATTTTTGGCCGTTTCCTCCTCACACGCTACTTCGAATTCCATGTTGATTTTGTCCGTTTCTCTCGTATGCTCGTTTGGTCCGTCCGTCTGCACTGCACTGCAATCGTGGCCATGATCGTCGTGCGATCGCGCCTCTCGCACACTCGCTCATTTCACTCACCCACACACCACCCAACGGGAAAAAAAGGTCCGATTTCCCATCCCATTCGCACTACTATGCAATCGATTTCATGCCGTTCCCTTCGCTCCAACCCGCCCGGGCTGATGATCGCCGTTCGCGATCGTGACAGGCAGGAGAAGATCACTTCATTACTGCTGCACCCGAGCTGGATTCGCTCGCACTCCCTCGCTCTCGCTCTCTCGCTCACGCTCTCCGAACCGTCGATCGTGTATTTGTTTGGCCAAAACCAAAAATTATACACATTGCCGGAATCCCTACGCGGTCCCGCTCCGGCTCGGCAGTCTGTGCGGAGAAGTCTCAACCTCACGTAGTAGCTTGCTTTCAGTTCAGTATTCGGTTCCGTGCGTGTATTGTCCATTCACAGGCAGAGAGGAGGGAGATCATTTGATCGCGCTTGTTTCGGTTGGCTTGCGTCCGTCCGGGGGTGATTCATGAGACAATTCTGTCAATATTCAGGACCGATTGTAGAAAATAATATGTAGTCTAGTTCTTAAGCGGCAGCAGCAATAATTCGTCGAGTGACGTTCATAATTGGTGCTAATTGATCTGATTGGTTTAGTTTGGCGCGGTAGAAGTCAAACACGGAGAAGAGTACTGCGCGATCGGTCGAAGGAAAAGATTTTTACCGACGGCAAGTGAGGATTTTGCGAGTATCGCGTGTGATCGGGTTCAAAAGTCGAGGGTTCGACCCGTGCGCGCAAGCCTGCTTTGGTTTTGCCAAGTGAGTGATTGAAGGATTGCGAATGTTTCGGTCCTTTTTTACTTAACAGTGTCAGGAGTAGATCGTTTAAATACGAGAGTGAAGAAAAGATTGAAGCAAATAAATTGTGTAAATCGGTAATGAAAGTCATTGCGTGTGGAACGAAGGGCTTGTGACCTTACTTGAGTATACGGTGTTTACGGGAAAGAAGAGGAAAGGAAGAGCTGAACGGAAAAAAAAACCTGACGGCAGAAGAACGAAGAGGATTTCTTTTCCTAGAAATGAATGGATATATTACCTGATCGTGTACCGTCCGTGCCGTTCCCTTGAGATATTTACGACCGGGCCCGGCAGGAGCACTGTAAGGACGAGAGAAAACCAGTGAAGATGGATAAGTGAAAACGTGAATCGGAATTTCAGTGCTTAAGTTTGAATTTAGTGTGTTCTACGACGAGCAAAACGATGCCGGAGAAAGAAACATTTCACGAGCACATGCAGGTGCATCCGTTTCACCATCCGGGCCATCCGTTGGCCGCAGCGGCCCATCATCACCCGGGGTTGGCCGCAGCAGCGGCATCCCACGGTCTGGCAGCAGCCGCGGCTGCAGCAAATGGGGCCAACCCGGGCGGTGGCTATGGCCCTCTGCAGATTCCGTCGGCCTTTGTGGCATTCCACTCGCAGCTTCCTTCGATGGATCAGCGGGCGGTGGCAATGGCCCATGATGGCCGCTATGGGCTGTGGGATCCCACTGGGCCCCCTTCCTATCATCACTCGACGGCATCTCACGGGTAAGTGATTAGGTTCCCTCGATGATTAAGAACATGTGTTTCGCACATTTTTAACTACTTCATAAAAGTCGAACTTTACGACCGTAGGCACTTTGGGGCTGCTGGTCGGAACCGAGTCAGAACAAGTAGTGACCCCTCCCTCTATCTAGAATGAACTGTTTTTTTTCTCTTTTTGGTTTTTGTTTAACGACCAGAGGAAGTTGTCGGTTGATGAACCGACTTGATCGCCGCGCGGCCGTCGGCAAAAAATCTCGGTGACATAAAATTTTTGATTGGCCTCTCGCACGTTTGAAACTGAATGAACGCTGAAGCTGCGGCTTTTATATTTTATGGCACACATACGCGCTCTGTTGAACTATACTCTATTGCTTTCCTTCAGTTTTTTTTATGGCGATGGAAGATTCGACGATTGCGATCGGAACGGGTTTCTGAATGGTTTATGCCTTTTGACCATTTCTTAAGTGGAGCGATCCTAAGATGGGGCGGATGAAAAATGGCGTTAAATTTTTAATCAAATTATAAGGGTACTAAAATGGGCCTTTGATTTACCGAGCGAAAATATTGGATGATGGAAGTGTTAATCTCTTGACATTGAATGGCACAAAGTGGGCACATTCAAGGATCTGGAAAGATCTGAAATTGATTGCAAAGCTCGTGAATTTGAAGGTGATGCGTTGTCTGGACCATGGACTATGTAGGGTTCAGATTAGTACCCATTTGATTATTTTATGTTCAAAGTGTATACAAGTCAGGATTGAGTAACTTGCGATAGGAGTGTACATTTTTGACAGATAGCGTACGTACTTTGCGAGGGAACAAGAGTTTGTGTGTGAGTAGGAGACAGAACCGAGGTACGTGGAGGATGTTGTGCGGAACGAGTGGCCGGATTGTGGACCAGATCCTGGAAGACGATTACGGATTCAAGCGGTGAGTTTTGATGGAAAATTTCTCGCTAACTTATAGGATCCAACCACCGCCGTTTAAAGCCGGCGCGCTCTGGGATCAGTTTCATGAGTTGCCACTTTTACGGCGGAACCGTTGTTTCTGTAGGATCGATTTGAGGCACCAGAGGTGACAACAACAATTTAGTTCTTTACACCACGAGGCGAGGTTCTAGGATCAGTTTAAATTCTGTACTCACTTTTAAAACAGTTCCGGATCCTCCAGAGGCCATTTCGTTGCCCATAGGGTTCACAACTCCTATCTCATCCGTATATCTCAACTCCAAGTGCTTCTGTAGGGCTTTAGGATCAGTTTCATGAATTGCAGTCTTGATTCCACCTGTGTTCCGGATCTTACAAAGTACCGTCACCCGGTGGAAACTAATGATTTTAAATTGGCTCACTTCTTGACTAGACATGTTTGTTTTGATTCGCTATGAAAGTTTGACAGATAAAATGAGGGGTTCGTGGATTTTCCTATGTTTCGAGGGGTGCATCGATTTGCTTGGGACCGAAGAGAGTTCCAGAGCTGAGCCAAAAACTTGAGCACGTTTCTTCGGGACCTTCTAGCCTTAGAGTTACCTCTATGGTACCGTTCCGTGGCCCTTTGAATCCACATTGAGGTCTAAAACTTAAATTCATTCTTATATCGTTAGTTACTACTAGTGTTTTAATTAGTTGGCAATTTTTACGATTCCTTCAGATTTGGTTTGGAGAACTTTTCCTCTTCAGGGTCCATGCCACAATCTTAAATCTATTCTTGTATGGTAACATACAGACTTGTTCGCTTCCACTAAACTGGTAGAGGTCTGGGATCAGTTTCTTAAATTGCCACGTTGATTTTATCTTTCCAATATACCCCATAATCTTAGCTCAAATCTCATAAGGTACGTGTTCGTTGATACTGGATCAACCATTGGACAGGAAGTGGCATTGATCTATAAAAAGTCCCGATTTGATCCTTTATGCTACAGAGATGATCAAGAATTAAATTTTAAACTTCATTCATTTGATGATCCGCAAAAAGATCTACATGATCAATAAATATCCATACAATCCACATCCATCTTATAGATTATTTTGCTTATCATGGATCAATTAGGAATTTAGATTACAAGAAGCGAAGTCAAAATTTTTTTTGGATGAGCACAGTCCAATTTGGATTACGAGAAGTGAAGTCAAATTTTACTTGGAAAAGCGCAGCCTAATTTGGATTACGAGAAGCTAAGTCAAATTTTACTTGGAAAAGCGTAGTCGAATTTCGATTAAGAGAAGCGAAATCAAATTTTATTTGGACAATCATAATCGAATTTGGATTACGAGAAGCGCTATCCAATTTGTCACATTTGTCAAAAGTCAAATTTAACTTGAAAAAAAGTAGTCAAATTTTACTTGGAAAACCGCAATTGAAATTGGATTTCGAAAAATGAAGCCAAATTTAACATGAAAAACCAAAATCAAATTTAGATTACGACTAGCAAAGTCAAATATTATTTGTGTAACCATAATCGAATTTGGATTACGAGAAGCGAAGTCAAATTTTACTTAAGAAAGCGAAGCCTAATTTGGATTACGAGAAACTTTACTTGCAAAAGCGTGATCGAATTTGGTTTACGGGAAGTGATTTTTTTTAAGAAAGCGCAATCGAATTTGGATTACGTGAAGCAAATTCAAAATTTACTTGGAAAAGCGTAGTCGAATTTGGATTACGGGAAGGGAAGTCTATTTTTTTTTAATTTGGATGACGAGAATCGAAGTCGAATTTTGTTGGGAAAAGCGCAATCCAATTTGTCAAATTTCTGTAAAGACAAATTTTATTTGGAAAAGCAAAATCGAATTTCGATTACGAGAAGCGAAGTCAATTTTACATGGAAATCCATTATCGAATTTGGATTACGAGAAGTGAAATCCGCAGTCGAATTTGGATGACGAGAAGCGAAGTCGAATTTTGTTGGGAAAAGCGCAATCCAATTTGTCAAATTTCTGAAAAAAAACAAATTTTATTTGGAAAAGCAAAATCGAATTTGGATGACGATAAGCAAAGTCAAATCTTATTTGGAAACCCAAAATCCAATTTGGATTACGAGAAGTGAAGCCAAATTTTACTTGGAAAGCGCAATCGAATTTGGTTCACGAGAAGAGAAGTAATATCTTATTTGGAAAGCCTAAATCAAATTTGAATTACGAGAAGCGACGACAAATTTACGCTTGGCAAACCGCAATCGAATTTGGATTCTGAGAAGCTAAGGTCAAATTTTACTTGGAAAACCCCACTTCAATTTGTCAAATTGGTCAAAAGTCAAATTTTGCATGGAAAGCAAAATCTAATTTGGATTACGAGAAGCGAATTCAAATTTTTACTTGGAAGAGTGCAATGGAATTTCAATTACGAGAAGCGATGTCAAATTTAATTGGAAAAGTGCAATGGAATTTTGATTAAGAGGAACGAAGTCAAATTTAATTTCGAAAAGCGCAATTGAATTTGGATTACGAGAAGTAAAAAGCGCAATCGAATTTGAATTACTAGAAGCGAAGTCAAGTTTTATTTGGAAAACCAAAATCGAATTTGGATTACGAGAAGGAAAAGAAAAATCGAATTCGGATGACGAGAAGCGAAGTCGAATTTTGTCCAATTTCCAATTTGTCAAATTTCTGAAAAGTCAAATTTTATTTGGAAAATTAAAATCGAATTTGGATTACGAGAAGCGAAGGTCAAATTTTACTTGGAAAACCCCACTTCAATTTGTCAAATTGGTCAAAAGTCAAATTTTACTTGGAAAGCAAAATCTAATTTGGATTACGAGAAGCGAAGTCAAATTTTACTTTGGAAAGTGCAATCGAATTCGGTTTAGGAGCAGCTAAGTCGAATTTTGTTTGGAAAAGCAAAATCGAATTTGGATTACGAGAAGCGAGGTCAATTTTTACTTGGAAATTCATTATCGAATTTGGATTAAAATTTTACTTGGAAAAGTGCAATCTAATGTGGATTACGAGAAGCTAAGTCGATTTACGTTTGAAAAAGCGCAATCCAATTTGTCAAATTTGTGAAACGTCAAATTTTATTTGGAAAAGCAAAATCGAATTAGAATGTGATGACGATAAGCGAAGTCAAATCTTATTTGGAAAACCAAAATCGAATTTGGATTACTAGATGTGAAGCCAAATTTCACGTGAAAAGCGCAATCGATTTTGGTTTACGAGAAGAAAAGTCAAATTTTATTTGGAAAGCCTAAATTGAAATTGAATTACGAGAAGCGACGACAAATTTACGCTTGGAAAAGCGCAACCAAATTTGGATTACGAGATGCGAAGTCAAATTGAATTGGAAAAGTGCAGTAGAATTTAGTTAACGGGAAGTGAAGTCTATTTTTTTCGAAAAGCGCGATCAAATTTGGATTACGAGAAGCGAAGTCAAACTTTTCTTGAAAATGCAAAATCGAATTTGGATTACGAGAAGCAAAGTCAATTTTTACTTGGAAATCCATTATCGAATTTGGATTACGAGAAGTGAAATCCGCAGTCGAATTTGTATTATGAGAAGCGAAGTCAAATTTTACTTGGAAAAGTGCAATCTAATGTGGATTACGAGAAGCTAAGTCGAATTTTGTTTGGAAAAGCGTAATGCAATTCGTCAAATTTGATTTGGAATAGCAAAATCGAATTTAGATGACGAGAAGCGAAGTGAAATCGTATTTGGAAAATTAAAATCGAATTTGGATTACTAGATGTGAAGCCAAATTTTACTTGAAAAGCGCAATCGAATTTGGTTTACGAGAAGAGAAGTCCAATTTTATTTGAAAAGCCTAAATCGAATTTGAATTCCGAGAAGCGACGACAAATTTGGTCTTGGAAAAGGGCAATCGAATATGGATTACGAGAAGCGAAGTCAAATTGAATTGGAAATGTGCAGTCGAATTTGGTTTACGGGAAGTGAAGTCTATTTTTTTTTGAAAAGGAAAATCTCATTTGTATTACGAGAAACAAAGTCAAATTTTACTTTGGAATGTGCAATCAAATTCGGTTTAGGAGAAGCTAAGTCGAATTTTGTTTGGAAAAGCA